AACTGAGTAAAAGAGAAAAACACACCCAGACAAGCAAAAAGCGACACATGCCTGCGTCGTGACCGAACTCCTCTAAACGTGCGCACGGCCCACCCACCTCAGCCTGGCAGCGCGGCTCCCGACGCGTTGATGGCCACACACTCGATCGGCCCGCAGTCGTCGGCAGTCGGCTCCAGCACAGTGAGCGTGTAGGTGTCCCGGTCGCTGGCCACCTTGTGGCGACCGTCAGGTTCCACGTGGTCCTCCGCTCTGAACAGACGGAGGGCAATGTGTGTCAAAAGGAAGGGTGGAAATTGCGAGAGCTGACAGAGATGCGATTCTAATCCTTACCGACATTTCAATCTCCTTTTGTTTACGTCTCATCGCTCATTTATATTATGTGTCTTTAGTTTTTTCAAGGTTTTCAGATTACTCTCATAAATGTATTTGTTCATCTACCTTTCATAATCGTTTCAACCTTCCACTAATCTGCCAATTTTCTCTATCACCTTCAGCCAGTAGACGTCGACCGGTTTCGTTCCGGCCAGCTTGGCCTCGAACGTGACAACCTTGGTGCCGGGCCAGAGCTGCACGTCGCGCGGGGTCTGGGTGAAGTTGGGCGGCACCTGGACACCGTGCGGCAGTGGACGTTCCTCCACCACCAGGTTTGCGGAGCAGCGCACCTGGCCGTGCTCGTTAGAGGCCACGCACGAGAACTGACCCGAGTCCCTCGCTGTACACCTCCCGGATCTCGAGCGTCGAGTGCCGACCGGTGGTGGTGACCTGCGGGGACGACGAAGACAGCAAAGTGTGAGATGACATCGTAGCATATTCATTGTTCATTACTGCATAGATAATTGCTTGCATGTTCGCCTTTGCTCATTGTGACTAGTGCCAGATCACAGATGGCATATGAATGTGGCGATACACAATCCATATTTCGACCAACTTACCTTGAAGTCGTGGCTGGGCGTGATCGGGAAGTCCTCTCGGAACCACGTGATCTCGGGCGGTGGCACGCCCACAAAGTCCACGTCGAACCGGGCCCCGTTCGTCTCGAAAGCCCGGCTCGGCTGCATCTTACGGGTGAAGATCGGTGCACGGCCTGGCGCCTGGAAGACACACGAGACGTAAGTGGTTTGCGTGATGCCTAAAATACAGTTTCATTATTACTGGAATGTGTTCGATTTCAGTAATGACGATCGTTGTTGCAGTCCGACTCTTACCAGGCGCCTTTTATGTGATTAGCTCACCTCCTTTCCGGGTGCTGCGGGTTCAGTGGGCGCTGAGGCTGTGCCAGGTCGGGCTGCTCCCGGCTTCTGTCCTGCCTCAGCCCTGGACAAAACAAACATGAAAGCGTGATCAGTACAGTGGTATATGCGAGAAAACATACCATGCTATTTAAGGGTGGTATACTCTTCATTGTTTGAGATGAACACATCTCGTCTCATAGACCACTGTGGTTTAGACAGCATTCTAAGTTTTGCTGTGCACCTATTGTAAGCTGTTATTATTTGCAATGGTTATATCAATATGAGTTAATTGATTTGATGCTGATTGATATAAGATACATTAATCAAAATGAATTAAATTTCCACCGGTGATCGTGGAAGCCCATGTTGGTCGACTCACAGTTTCTGGACGTAGATAGCCGCCATGCCCTTGGCCACAGAGCCGAGCGGGGTTCTTTCTTGCGGCAGCTGCAGAGTGAAATTGCCGTCAATCCCCGTTCTAGACATGAACTCCATCACCCCAGCCACAATCACATTCAACGATAATTAACGTGTAAAGCTCTCGTAAAGCTTTTATCTTGTACTTTCACATTCAAAGTCGGAGCTATTTTTATGTTACTGAGATTGAACTGATATCGCAGCATCTACGCTTCATGATAGCCCTTCATAATATTCATTGCATTGCAACACACTGCTGAATGCATGGCTAGATATGTGCTGGCAGTTGGCACAAAACGCTCGTACCTGTTTGCCGACGTCTGAAGCGTCAGAGCCCCGCTTGGACCGCCTGGGCGCCTCGGGCTCCTCCACAACTTTGCTGTGTTCTCCCTGATAGAGAACAGATATGCCGGGCCGCACTTTCTCTTCGAAGACCCGCTCGGTCTCCACCTCTTGGCGCTCGCTCTGGTATTGTCGCAGGTCATAGTCATACCAGGCTAAAAGAGGAACTGCAAGTTATCGCGGGCAGCGGCAGGTGGCAGCACGGTGCTGATGTCACATGCGGGGCAACGCTCAAGGACAAGGCACAAATGCTGGGTGTGGTCACATATAAAGACGAGGACAGTGACATTAGTCGGGTAACATGGCTAAAATCACGAGGCACTGTCTAAAAGCATCAAGTCGCACGTAGAACACTACTCTGCAATCAACTGACACCAAAAATTCGCTAACGGTTATGGCAATCCGTTGTCTTCTCGGCCCCAATGTGGTCACACATTGATTGCATTTCACGCAGGTAAGCATAACCAGCTGCAAAGTTTTATGAGGATGACACCTCGGTTACGGGTTAGGACGCACATTCTATCAGGCGACAGAGGCTCGAAGAAAGCAAATAAAAACAAAGCAAAGCCTAGGAAAAAATCACTTCAAACCGCCAAATAGGTTTATGCGCAAACGGAAACTCATGCACCTGAAACGGCTCCTTACCTGTTCACTTCCAAACGCTGCTGAGCAATAAGACGGCGGTGTTATTGGCTATAATAAGTCAGTGAGCGGCGGCGGCAGTTTTGCGGCCAGCGCTGTGACGGAAGTGTAGTGTGTGAGATGCCCAGCGGCGTTAGTCGTGCTGTTTATGTGCTGGTCTCTGCTTCCCCTTACTCCCGATATACAAACGGCCACCTGGGAGGCTCTGGTAACCCAGGTCGCCGTCGGATGGCGCGCGCGGCGTGCCGCCCGGCCCACTCACGTTTCGGCGAGTTCTTGAGGACGGCACGGTAGTCGTCCTGCCGAGCGTTGATGTTGATCTCGCAGGAGCAGTAGGCCTCGCCGGCAGAGTTGCGGGCGACGACCTCGATCTTGCCGTGGTCGTACTGACGAGTTTTGGGGATGTCCAGTCGCCACATACCGTCGTAGGTCAGCTTGTAGCGTGTGCCCTGTGGACGGTTTATTACAAGTTACTACCTGGCTCGTATCGTGCTTCGATCGCTTTTGGTGTGATGGCGTAGCCGGCGGCTAGGCCGGCTACGCCCCTAGGCCGGCCGCCAATAGTTATATTCCATCTAAATGGATATTAAAACACAACCGAAAAGCCTACCTTCCGGAGCTCATTCGCCATCTCCTGATACTATTTTTACGCTGTATACCACCGAGCATACCAGCTTTCGGCACTCACGTTGACGATGGTGTGTCCGTTGATGAGCCACATGACGCGGGGTCGCGGATGGCCGGTGACTCGGCAGCAGAAGCGCGCCCAGTCGCCCTCGTTCACCGTCACCGGCTCCGGCTTGGTGACAAACACGGGCGCCTCGCGGGCGCGCTCCTCCTCCAGGGGCGCGTCGGGCGCCCGGTTCCAGTGGGACTCCATCTCCTGGATCTTCTTGACAGATTCCATGCCCTTCGGCAGCTGGGACTCGTACACGATACCCGGCTTGCCCTGATGGAAGGAAGAGGCCGTCACGTAGGGGTGGTAATGGTTACATTTAAATTTTCGTAACTACAGAACGGAGACCTCTGAATGATGGTCTAAGCGTCCAACCCGTTGAGCGGAAGACGGAGAATGCTGAACGGTTTGATTCGATAAGTTGTCGTTTTCTTAGTGCTATCGCCAAATAAGATGCAGCCTATCCTTCCATGATAGGACCAATTTCCTTCCGTGACATTCCCAACCCTTGCGCTACCCTGCCTTCGGTTCACTCTCCTCTACTGACCTTAGTCTTGATGATGGCCTTGGTCTCGTCCATGCCGTACAGGTTGGTGGCGCGGCACAGGTACTCCCCAGAGTCCTCCGGGTACACCCAGCCAAAGTTCATCGCCACGTAACCAAAGTCGTAGATCGGTGTGAAGCGGTTCTCTGCAACGTCACATACGTGGAATGTCAGCGGCTGATTGGGGTTTCATGGAGGTCGATGGTCATACATCTGATATGTAAGACCCCGTACTTCATTTGCCAGCAACGCAAATTGATGAATGAGTACTTGTTATGAAGATACCCCGAATGCCGTTTGCCCTCCTATTCAGACCATCGACAGAATACTCTATGAGATCAAGGTCGTGCTTCTTGCGGTTTTACCCATCTGGTTTTAACGCATCAACTCACTGTATGGCAGTGGTCTGCCGTTGAAGAACCACTCGACCTTCATGTTGGGGTCTCCAACGGGCGCCAGCTGGCACTCAAACTTGGTCTGTTCCATCTCCACCAAGTTCGGCTGGCTCTGGATCTGGGTGACGAACCTGTGTACGAGGCGAACACATGGTCAGACAGCTTTCAAACTTAGTAGGAACAGCAGCTCATCTTTATACCTGTCTTCTTCAGTAGCTCTTTTTAATGGACCGACATTGGATATAAGCGTAATCGAGTTTGTAACGTCGATATTTTAACAGGTGCCCCGATCTAGTTTAGTGCCATTCCCCGTTCAGTTGAAGGATGATCACTGTACCTCGGCGGCTGTTTGCGGTCGGCGTCGTAGATATCCTCCTCAGTGAGGTGGATCTCCGAGGTGTATTGCTTCAGGGTGGCCTCCATCTGCATCAGGTAGTCGGCGGGCTTCATGCCCTTCGGCACCTGGGTCAGCATGATCACCGACGAAATGGCTGCCGGAAAACGCAGTGATGTTAGTTGTGAACATGAAAAGTGCTATGATATAGCTGGCATGGTAACGAATGTGATGCTTAACAAAGAACGCCACGCTGAGCTTATTATTCAGGCATGATGGCACCAGAACGACCTTCTGTTTTTACAACTGATTTCGTTCTCTGTTTCAGGATTTCAATCATAACTACGGCGACAGTCTCCTGGAAAAGTCACCACGGGTGAGTAAACTGTCTTCAACATCTGCTGTGATACGATGTGTGTGGACGAAGACCTACCTCGGCAGGTCAGTGCACTCTTGCAGGTGGCCTGTCCGACCTTGTTGACGGCCCTGCAGGTGTACTCGCCGCCGTCCTCTGGGTATACTCCCAGAATCTGCAGCGACGCGTACCCGAAGTCGAACGTAGTCCGGAACCTGGCGGGCAGGAGAGGCACGTCAGCAGCGAGAAGGGCTGGAGGGGTCACCATGATCGGGAGTTAATGGATTAGGCGTTCAACTTTTTGTCAAATCATTCGCCTCACGAGGGTTTTCGTTATCAGCTCAGATATTGCAAGTGCATAGCCCTTCAAAATTTACTACACTCCCACAACCCTCAACACTAAAGGACATTGCTATGAGCACATGTTGGCTTGTCGCCAACCGCTGTATTGCTCGCCACGGAGACGTTGACTGTCCGTACCTGTGGCCCGTCTGGACCTGGACGCCGTTCCTGAACCACTCCACCCGCAGGTTGGGGTCGCTCTTGGGCTCCACCTTGCAGTCGAAGAAGGCCGTCTCACCCTCGCCAACGTCCACGTTGCCAATCTGGAACGGACGTGTCCGTGTGATTTGTTGGTCAAATAAGTTTTAACAGCAACATCTTACAATGACATCAAGCAAATCGTCGCAAGTCACATTAGTGTGGCCTGTCGATAGATTGCATTTCGATCCCAGTTCCTCACCTCCTTGACGAAGCGCGGCGGCTCTGCCTCCGCCTCCGGTGCCATCGGCTCGCCCATCTTGGGCCCCTCCTCGAGGGTTCGCAGACGGTCACCAGACATGCCCTTGGGCAGCTGAGACTCGAGCACCACGTCCCGCTTGGCTAGAAATTAGGTCACACATTTGGAAAGGTCAGAACAACGACAGTACGGTGCAAAAAGGAATAGATTATATGGTTTATTCTTAATTTATATTTGTCAGGTAGCTGAAACGATAAAGAGATGTCCGACACCGCAGCCCGATTTATTGCGTGCATTTGTAATTGGCTGGGCTTAAATCTGGTACGAAAATAAAACATTTGTTTTTAGGTCATTTTATTTCGGTACCGATCCAAGCGAATTTAAGAGCTAAGTCGAAATGGTTCAAAGCCATATACCATCCAAGGTCCGCGGAAAACAAGCATTGGTTTCATGTTACCACGACTCCTGTCCACCACTTGACCTACAAAGTATCTGTGAGAGCCTCCTCGCTGGTAGCCGGGCGAGGTGATCCAGGTTGTAATGCTCCAGATATCGCTGGAATTCGTCTGTAACGCGCGGTGTGAGAGAAAATAAGGGACAGCACAACACTTCACCAAGCCGATTAGCTGAGCATGCACGGAGAGGTTAGATGAGAAAATAAAATTCACCGATAGAAATGCTAGGGCAAATACGGGACGAGACAACATGTGACAATTGGACCCTCGGTGTATGCGGGGTGGGTGGAAAACAGCACAACAAAGGTAGGTATAGCGTTAAAAACGACCCTATGGTTTATTTAGGGAAATAATATGCTGCCTTGCGACCAGAGGTATTGCCATGCAACCATGTATTTAACGGGTCCACGAACATGAAGCAAACTATCATAAGTATCTAGCTGGGGGAAAAATACAACTAAACCGCTGAAAGGGAAAATGCTGTTGTTGAATCAAAATAGTAACATTTTCCTCTCTAAGTTGCACGCAAGACGGCACACCATGTTAACTGGAGCGTTGCGTCAGTCCCCTGTGTCTGCGTGGGCCAGCTGCGTACTGTCGAGGCTGGTCGGGACGTCCTTACCTTTGCAGATGAGGGTGGCCTTGGTGGTGGCGGTGCCCCACTTGTTGGTGGCACGGCACACGTACTCTCCCGAGTCGCGCGGGAACGTCCAGTCCAGGTCCAGCACGATGAAGCCGAAGTCGTCAAGGAAGTGAACCCTGTGACGTCGTCAGCGATTCCGTGGTGAAGGGACATCATGACACATTCGTTTCCTAGGAGGGACTTATATGATCGAATCATGACCAAACGTATCCACCCTCTTGCGTTTCCTACGAGCACATCCCCTAGTTTCCTAAAGTTCCTTGACGTTTCCGAAAGCTATGAAGCAAACGACAGGTCTATGTTGTAATCTTACCGCATCATCCGCTCCCGACTGACCTGGATCCGACGTCGATGGGCCGTCCGTTGTGGAACCACTCAATGCGCATGCTGGGGTCGCCGACCGGCTCCACGCGGCAGTCAAAGTGCGCCGGCTGGCCCTCGAACAGAGACTCGAGGTTCTTGATCTCTGTGACGAAGCGCGGCGGCTGCGGCGCGGCGTCCTCCACCGGCACCTGCTCTGAGTGGTAGAGCGACTCCTCCAGCTTGCGGATACCTTCCATGCCGTGTGGCATCTGCGGCTCCAACACGACGCCCTGGCGGCCCTGCGGATAAAGGAGGGAGAACGCGGTGTGAAATGAGGTATGAGGCTAATCACAATTATATTCCAGCGGAGAGCGTCCTTCGATTTCGCATAGAGCCCGTGGCTCGTTGTATTTTTCTTGGTTTGTCCTTTTAAATGCAGATTTCGCTATTCTTAGGACGCTGGATATCTGCTGTAAGTGCGATCTTCTAACCCATTCGGTTCTCCCGTCGCTCCTTACCTTGACGGTGAGGGAGCAGGAGACTGACGCCTCGCCGTGCCTGTTGACGGCCTTGCAGGTGTACAGACCGGCGTCGCGCTGGTAGATGCCGCCGATCTCCAGAATGACGTAGCTGAAACGATGGTGCGGGATGTCACTCCTCAGATCCTCCTCGGGACATCACATTATTTCTTGACGTCTGTGGCACTTGAAGGTTGGATACTGGGTACGATGAGGGTGACATCGTAATAGCATTTACTTCGTAACAACTAACACTCTACAAGATATCGATGTCAATGCTATTTCTCGAATCGATGTTCATTTGATTCGTAGGCGTAATAGCTTAACGTAGCAAAAGGAGAGATTATCTCTACTTGTGCGTGAACACCCCGATTGGATCTAGGAATGCTCCCATCGAGCACCCACCCGAAGTCGTTGATGGTGCGGACGCGCGATCCTGCTGACAGGGGCCGTCCGTTGTGGAACCACTCGACCCTCATGGTAGGGTCTCCGACCGGGGTGAGGCGGCACTCAAAGTGCGCCAGCTGGTTCTCCACCAGACTGACGTCGGCCGGCTGCGTCAGGAACTGCGGTGGAGCGCCCTGCGACGAGTATAGAGCAAACGAGTTAGGTACCGGGGAAGCTTGAGGAAGTAAACGATCATGAATTCGGCAGGCAACACTCCTCCCACTGTGGCGCTGCCATCAGACGTAACTTCAGCAATTGTGTCGTATAGTCGTTTCTACGTCTTGCTGACACTTGGGTATAGACCACTCTTACCTCCTCAGTTTCGCCCGGCATGACCGGCTTGATGCCCAGATTCTCCAGGTCAGCAATCTTCTGCATCGTTTCCATGCCCTTGGGCAGCTGGCTCTCAAGAATGATGTTCCTCTTGCCTGCAACACAATTACAAGCGAGTGATCTCAACTAGGTTGTACGTACCATTCAACAGCTTGCTATGGCTTCTTTTTTTCGTATGTTTTTAATTAGCATGTGCTTATGTGAGCTTTCAGCAGTGAATAGACATCAAGTACTGATCGAGACTGCAAAACCCGCCTGCTGAGTTCGACACAAGTTTTTAAACGTTCGCGGGCGCACCGAAAATAATGAAAGATATTTGTAAGCGGGTCAACTGGTACTGTCGCTACCCGCCGGGATTATTAAACAGCTACTCGATAGTAAAATCGTTGTGTTACAAAATCGCTGTTCATTATGAGCGATGGTTCAAGTACCTTCTCAGGAATAGATGGACAGTGGCAATGAAGAAGCACGCGCTATTACACACTATAAAGCTATATCTACTTTTTAATGCAAAAATTGCATGTATCAACCTCAAAATCGTTCAACCTCAAAGCCTTTCCTTTTCAAAATGTAGCTTTTCTTCTGCCGTCAAACACAAGCTGTGGCGGCTCCAAACCCTCCCCAAACACGCTCTGAAAAACACTCAGCGCCTCAGCACAGGTCGAAGACGAAGTTTGTTTCTTCTCTGTGCGAGATAGATACAGCGAAGAATAATGCGTTGGGCTCATAAAGCCAAGGGCATAAACACGTGGCATTACCGTGATACCAAACCTGTTGGCTTGCTTGGCTTACCTGGACCTGGCGAAATGGAACAGTAAAAATATCAAATATTCGCATCACATGAATGCCGGTTCTCACCTTTTACCGAGCTCAGATCAGACAAATTACTTTGTTTCGAACTTGCATTGTTGCAGTGAACAGAGCTTAGATACCGTATGACCACACGCTACTTGACGTGCTTTGCGGACGGCTACCGATACTCATTGGTTTCAAATACATGATAATGACTATCGATGTACCCATGACATAAATTCGAGGCTAAGTTATCTATCCTGCCCCCAGCCTCCTTTTCTCTCGGCCATCTGTCCCCAGTCCCGTCCCCCTTCCGCCGTCGCGTCGCCCGCTGTCCCACTCACCGGAACACTTCATGACGGCGGTGCTGGTGGCCTCGCCGACCTCGTTGAACGCTCGGCACGTGAACTCGCCACTGTCCTCCGGGTACACCGGAGAGATCTCCAGGATCACGAAGCCGAAGTCGCAGAAGGTGCGGTACCGGCTGGACGCCTTCATCGGCTTGCCGTTGTGGTACCATTCCGTCTGATAAATCGGCACAGTGTGAGATGGTAAGGATTTTCGCTTGTCCTTGATCAACGGAGAATGGTTCGAGAAGATCTGCCCCTTTTTTAAGAACACAAATGTATTTGCTGCGCCCAGGCATGTCTTTGCAAGCGCATCGGGACGGATAAACGCCACTATTATGTCCTTATCAAGGTCAGGACTCAGCGTTGATATGGTACCGTTTCAAACGGCAAGAGGTCGTCAGTATTACCGAAGGTCGTGTTGGCCTCACCTTCAGTTTGGGGTCATCCACGGGGGTGAGTCGCGCCTCAAAGTGGGCGTTCTCTCCCTCGCGCAGGTCGTCGATGTTGTTGAAGGGCACCGTGAAGCGCGGCGCCACGCGCGTCGTCACGTCCTCCTTCTCCTCGCGCGTCAACCGCGTGGAGTCCTCCAGGGTCTGGATCTTCTCCAGGCCACCGCTCATTTCCTGGGGTGAAAAGTGAAGTAGCGTAAGTCAAATGCCCTATACTGATGCGTTTGGCTACGCAGACTTTCGGTATTTGATGAAGCGAATTGTTAGTCAGCTCATCATTTACTTTTATTTAACGGGTAAATCAGCGCTGATATGGCCTTAGGGGTGTTCGATATTCGGTCATGGAAGTTATCAATAAAACGCACACAATTTTTTCCGCAGTCACCTTGGGTATCTGTGGAGTCAAGATCAGGCTCTCCTTCGACACACACTTGAGCGTGGCCTTGGTGACGTCTGAGCCGGCCTTGTTGACGGCGCGGCACTCGTACTCCCCAGAGTCCTCCTCGTAGCAGTAGAGGATGTCCAGGATGACGATACCGAAGTCGTGGAACGTCCGGAAACGGTGGCCGCTCGGCAGCTTCTCGCCGTTGCGGTACCATTCCACCTGTTGAAGGTAGCGTCAAATGAGTTAATGGATTGCCATGCGATTGCTGTGAACATCTCGACATGATTGAACAACACTTTAAAAACCATACTTTAAAATTATTGGAGAGTGATTTGAGGAAAAACTCAGCAGCCAATTCGCACATTACGTAATCACAATTTTCGTTCATAAATTTCAATGCATTTTAGCCTTCCCCTTTCTTACCGTCAGGTCAGGATCGTGTACGGGCGTCAGGCGCGCCTCGAAGTGCGCCGAGTGGCCCTCCACCATGTTGGTGATCTCGGTGACGTGTTTGGTGAATTTGGGCGCCTGCGAGCCGGGCGCCGGGGGCTTTCCGTCCACCTCTGGCGTCATCTCCAGCTCGGAGATGTGTCTCAGCGCCTGCGGCTGCAGCGAGTCGAGGAATACGCCGCCCCGGCCCTGGCAGCGCAGCGTGGCGCGCGTGCTGTCCGAGCCGTGCTTGTTGGTGGCGCGGCACTCGTACTCGCCAGAGTCCTCCGTCTGGCCGTAGGCGATGTCGAGAAGGACGTAGCCGAAGTCGGAGACGGCCTTGATGCGCGAGGAGTGGCGCAGAGGCGCGCCGTTGTGGAACCATTCCACCTTCATGTCGGGGTCTCCGACGGGCTCCAGCTGACACTCGAAGTGCGCCGAGTCGCCGTCCTGCAGGTTCTCCACGCTCTGAGGAAGAGGCAAATGTGATTTTATAGATCGAATAGAACTGTTTGTGGACACCTAAATGTCACAAGAATGCGTTAGCAGTAATGTTACGAACAATGTGTTTTTTTCAAGATGTCCGTTCACTCACAGCTACCTTATCACGGCTTATTACCTGTATCTGTGTAACGAAGCGTGGCTTTTCTCCAGTCTCCTTGAAGATTTCGGATGAGCCTGCGAAGACATCGTGCGTCAATAGAAACCTTTTCGTTCACGGAATTACAATGCACCAGCATGATTGATTTCTGAAGCTGCATCGATCCGTATCGTAATTCGTAGCATCCGTCCGCTCAACATTTTTACATGCGACAGTTCGTTCATTGTCCCACAAGCCGTCCTAGTCGAAGTGCCTCCAGCTGTAACTTACTCTTGACCCGGAGTGTGCCGGTGGTCTGCGCCGAGCCCTTCTGGTTGGTGGCCTTGCAGACGATGAGTCCGGCGTCCTCCGACAGGGTGTCGGCGATCTCCAGCTGTACCAGGCCGAAGTCGTAGTGGGTCGTGAAACGGGAGCCGCTCTTCATCGGCTCGCCGTTCAGGAACCATTCTGAAGCGAGACGCAAAAGTTCCGTATTTTCAATTGTCTCGTATTTCCAATTGTCGTATTAAGTCTCCTGGGCCTCTTCACTTTCTAACGTTGCTAAGCTGAAAGTTTCCGCCAAACACTGGATGTAAAATTAAAACTTTAGGAGACTCGTAAAACAAACAAAAAACTTGGGTTTTATCCCGATTAACTACATCAAATATAATAATGCGGCGAAGCAGATGTTTTTTTCTCGCTTACCGATCTTCATGTTGGGGTCCTTGGCCGGCTCGACGCGGCACTCGAAGCAGGCGCGCTCGTTCTCGTTGCACTGCACGTCGTTGAGATGTGACACGAAGACGGGCAGCTCGAAGGTGACATCGGGCGAGGTCGCTTCGGCCGGGCCACGTCCCAGCTCCAGCTGAGCGATGGCCGGCAGCGCCTCGGGTCTCTGAGACTGACCCAGCAGCCAGTGCTTGTCTGTCGGTCAGAGGTCAGGGTCAGAGGTGGTGTGTTTTGTGGTGGGTGTAGGGTGGAGTACCCTCGGGCCTCTGAGACTGACCCAGCAGCCAGTGTTTGTCTGCAAACCATCAGAAATTTTAGAGTGACAATGTTTGGAGTTCAGTCATGGAATAGTGGAGAAGGATGAAGGAACTGGAACTTCTGCCCAAAGCTTATTCTCCGAAATAATAGGAACGCTAGCAACGCATAGGTATTTAATGCTAGAAGCAGCTCTGATAGGTTTGTGATCGGCAAACGGCTGCAAACGGCTGCATCCGGATTTGCGCTTTAAGCCTCTTTTCCAAGCATCTAGCGATGTGGCTTACCTTCGACCTTGAGTGTGCATGTGGAGACGGCGTCTCCCATCTGGTTGACGGCTCGGCACGTGTAGATGCCCGAGTCGTCGCCTCGCAGGCTCATGATGTCCAGCGTCACTAGGCCAAAGTCGAACGTGCTCCTCAGACGCGCGCCTGTGCATCAGAGGAAGACGCGTCAGCTGCGCTAAACCAACGGCATTACAGGGAAGGAAGAATGGACCGCTAGAATCGAACCTTGTGAACTGCCGTAGAATTAATGACAATTACGGTAAATGGAGAAATGTGTTGCCGCACTGACCGGTCATGAGCGGCACGCCGTTCTTGCTCCACTCGACGCGCAGGTTGGGGTCGGTCTTGGGCTCGACGGTGGCCTCCAGGTGGACGCTCTGCTGCTCAGTGAGCCGGTCGTGGCTCTGCAGGTGTGTGGTGAACACGGGCGCCTGCTGCGGTCGCTCCTCCACGTACATCTCGGGCACGCGGTTCATCTCGGCCTCCTTCAGCTGGATCTTGTCCCAGGCCGTGGCGTGGATGGCGTCACCCAGCACGCTGCTGCGGTCTGCGTGGGGAGGGAATGAGAAGGTTAGAGAAACGTCCGTCATCCAAAGGCAGGTGAAAATTAAGAGGCTACCTGGAACTCATTGGCAATTGCTAAATTATATTGTCTTTGTATGCTGCTGACTTCCAATAGCGATTATTGCGATTAAAATTCTACCGTGGCTACCACAAATAGGACGCCAACTTTTTCACAAGAGCCAAACCATTGCTCCTCGGCTTGCACGTAAGGACGCAAAGTTCCAAGGTACCCCCACTGGTGACGGATCACCAGCCGACATGAACCACTTACCGTGCACGTGCAGTGAGGTGGTGGTGACGGCGTCGCCGGCCTTGTTGATGGCCTTGCACATGTACATGCCGGCGTCCTCGGGGATCACAGACATGATGTCCAGCGTGATGAAGCCAAAGTCGTGCGTCTCCTTGATGCGAGAGCCTATGAAGAACACGTGGTGGTGTTACATGAGGATCGTTTGAAGTTGTCCCTTGTATTTTTGTGCGTTAGTATATGAACTATGAAGTGCAATGATTCGTATGTAACTTGGCTTTGGTTACTAAGTGTTGAAACTTGAGGGAAAATTCTTAATGGGCTTTCAATGCTACTGGCTAAGATCATGCGTGAAAGGTAGCCTTCATGTGAGCTGCAACCTTGTGGGGAGGGTCAATGACGGAAACGGGAGCGAGACATCTTATCAAGGGAAAACTTATTAAAAATGTTCCGCCTTACATGTCCAACTGTTAAATGTTCGGATGTGTGTGGAAGATCCAAGCTCGAGGAAAGGGACACATGCATCTTTACGAGCTATTTTCATGCGTCAAACTAATGCTCAGCTAACTGCACGAGTTGGATTGCATAGCACAAATCGGGTGTGTCGAAAAATGGATTTATTTTGTTCGTATCAATCGAAATACGATCATTTTTACAATCCGTTGAATATAGATTGTCAAGCCTAGCAGACTGTGCTTAAAAATGCATCAAATGTAGATTTGTCACGCAAGTGTGCCTGAAAGAATACATCACACCCATGAAGTGCCCGTTGAACTTCATGTTTCTTGGTAGCATGCTGTTACTTATATGCTATGCTCTAGAACTACTCGTTTCGTAGTTCACAATTGTGCATGGAGATACATGTGAACAATCGCTTGTTTAACAGATATAAACACTCAAAGAAGATAATATAGTAGGTATATAGATGGATGAGAAGAAGATACAGTTTCAAACAGAAGAGTGTCACTGAAATAAACCAAACCTGACAGCTCTGGAATTTACCTCCATCTGGCAAAATAAGGGTAGACACTATTAGTATTTTGTCGATGGTCTGTGGTAATCCGTCCTTCACAGCCACAACACATCTACAGAACAAAAAGTGAAAATTATAATGCACGGACAACGACTCAACAAAACATTATGAATGGCCAGTGAGACTGCTACGAAAACAATGGGATTGTGATGGACAACCGACGAAAATATAAGGTGTGAAGGGACATCAACCTAGTGGCACTTGTTACGAGTTAGTGGGAATGTTCCTTGATAATTTCGTGATGTTGACATATAACTTGGACTCAGGTTATATTCACAACGTGTTATATTCGTACGCTATATGGTCGACCATAGGCTGGTAAGTTCTTAATATTTACATGTCATTTATTACGACTACTACTGTTATTAAAGCACCTGAACGTGATCTCGGCTCGTGCGTCATCGCTGGCAGAATGTCATATGGCTGATGCATAGACCTCCGTGTACGTACAAAGGTCTATTTCCGATGCAATAAGGTGTAAAGTGACAAGTCAGGCGAAGTAGAAAATAAAAAATCAAGCATTTTCCTAAGTGATTATTGACCAATGCTACGAGAGTCGGAATACAATGACGTAGCGTAGGTACTCGTACACATGCATGAATTCCATTGTCATGACTAAAAATCGAAGTTTTCCACTGACGGTCTTACATGCACCTGCCCAGATCTCACCGAGTTTGAGCTCGACGCCGTTGCAGTACCACTCGAAGCGCAGGCTGGGGTCACCGACGGGCACGCAGCGAGCCTGGAAGTGCGCGTGCTGACCCTCGATGAGCTCGGTGGGCCCGGTGAGCGGCATGGTGAACACGGGCTTCTCGAACTCCTGTTCGGTCTCTGCCGGCTCCCCGGGCGCCTTCTGCTCCAGCGCGGCCAGCTTGGCCATCGAGCCCGGGTGCTGCGTGTCCAGCACGATGTTGGCCTCGGCTGGGGATGTGCACCGATCATGTCAGAGGTCTTGCGCTAGTTATATTGCGCTATTTAGCGATTCTTATCTGCGCAAAGTATATCATATTCCTTTTTTGTGTTTTAGGGTATGTATCTTCAATTTGCGTCCTGCAACGATATACAACTTGAAAATCGCGATGAACTAACCACGATTCAACACGATTTATTAATCCTTTGATGAAACGTCACTTATAGAAAACGTAACTTTCATCCTCCTCCCTGACACGTGACAACCATAGATAACATGCTCTACAGGCAGACCACTGTGACGTGACGTCTTCTCCCGCGAACTCACACTTGATGCGGATGGAGGCGGTGGTGACGGCCTCTCCGAGCTCGTTGGTGGCGCGACACGAGTAGACGCCCTCGTCCTCGGGTCGCAGACCGGCAATGTCCAGCGCCACGTAGCCAAAGTCGTGCGTTGGCTTGAACCGGGAACCTGAGGGAAGGAGAGGGCGATAGGAGGTTGTGGTTATTAGAGAACGAGGGGTTAATTCATTTCCATACCAAGACATACCATTCCTCCAATTCTGGCCCAAGGCAACGCGCCAGCGCTGCCGGCATCTAGTATATTATTGGACGCTATAGCAATAAAGGTTTATTCCAGATGAATTGTTACACCATAATTATTTGCCTGTTAATGTCATCGACACTTATTAGGGTGTCATGTAAAAACGGAACTCATTCAAAAAGAACTGTCCCTGATCACCTCACGATGCTTCGTCTCCGCTTTCACTCACCGAACTGAAGCGGCTGCTCGTTCCTGAACCAGTCGACTTTGAGTTTGGGGTCGCCCACGGGGATGAGGCGCGCCTCCAGGTGCACCGCCTGTCCCTCGTCCAGGCGGTTGTCGCTCTGCAGGGGCTGGGTGAACATGGGCTTCTGGTAGGTGGCCGCCTCCTCCTGGCGCACCTCCGGGGAACGCTGCTCCAGCTGGCGGATCGCCTCCAGACCCTCCGGGTGCTGCGTCGACGAGATGATCTTCTCCTTGTCTGCGGGAATGGACATGGCGATGAAGCCGCTGGTTATGACGTTCCACGTGATTAGTAGGTGAGTTAGGGTGAATGTCGCGTCTATCTCAGGAGTTTCAGAGTTCATTAGTAACCTATCCTTGATCGATGTACATTGTACAGCGCTCAGTTTAGGATCCAGAGTATTTTAATAAAATGTATAATGATCAATGGCGAGCTGTGTGAAAGTTGATGAAGGTGGTTGTGAAGATGATAATGTACAAAGACCAGTGAGAAGATCGGCGTAGATCGATGCACTGGTCCATGAGGATCGGTGTTGCAGTCGGTTTTCCGCGTATACGTACCGAGAACCTGTATGGTGAGGCTGGATGTGGCCTCGCCGACCTTGTTGACGGCGCGGCAGGTGTACTCGCCGCCATCCTCCTCCACCAGGCCGCCGATGTCCAGCGACACGTAGCCGAAGTCGAACGTCGTGTGGAACCGCGACGCCGACTGCAGCGGCTTCCCGTTGTGGAAGAACTCGACGCGCAGGTCCGAGTCGTGCAGCGGCTCGATGCGACCCTCCATGTGCGCTGAGCCACCCTCCGCCAGCTGGATCTGACCCTGTGAGACGCAGAGGGGCGTGAACTTTTGACCAATTACCTTCAGATGTCGATGTAATCATACCATGACCAATGGCTTGTGGGATTGTCTGTTTCCGCAACCAACTTGTTCCTGTCTTCAAAGCAACCCATTTGCGTCAAGCGCTCTCTCAACATATCGTGTGAGAAACTTACCCGGAGCTCCTGGACGAAGCGCGGCGCCTCCTTGGGCTCTTCCGCCTCCTCCGGGCGCTGAGTCTCGCGAGACTCGAGGTCGCGGATCTTCTGCCAGCCCTCCGGGTGCTGTGTATCCAGATAGATTGAGCGGCGTGCTGCGGGGCATGTCAGTTGGTCAGTACGTGAAATTCACACCTTCATGCAAGTCGTTAAAATCGGGAGGATGAAATTTGGAGTCAACGGCTATGTTTGGACGCGAATTATCTTGACAGAGAGCTTCTTATTTGTTCCTTTGTGCTCCTTTTTTGTTAGTGGTGGATGTTTGCGCAAAGTTCGCCACTCGAAGCCCGGAAAGCGAGAATGACAAAAGTCAGCTACTCGCTGCCTGGCGGCGCGGTTGGGCAGTCAGTTCCCGCTCTCGTCACTAGATGACACTAGTGGTAGGCGCCTGATCGCATACTGCACCGCAAGGCACAGTTGAGCGCTGGCGAATTCAACAGCTCGCGGCGGTTAAACAAATAAGTGCGCTGACCGTCACTGGGGCATTGCACTTACTTTTGACAAATGAAAAGCACGGCACAACATTCAGCATAGAAATAGTCGAAGAAGTTTTTTTTTAACGGAAGGATGCCTGAGGTGAAAGAAAGCATCATTAACAGTTCAAATCGAAGTTGAATAGACGGCAGAAAATATCGAAAACAGTTGGAACAAAAAGGAAGAGGGAAACAGTTGTCACGAAGTTAAAGAGACGTCGAAAAGTCACTTAGAAGCACGATTTTCTGAGCAATTTTTCAGCTCTAAAGCTGCACGAATCAATGCTGACAGAACAGATGCAAGTTGATATTGTGGAGAAAGAAGAAATCTACACGATGCGGAACTCCAAGTGAACAAAGCACATAAACCAAACCTGCTGTGTTGTCTCGTACCTCGATCTGACGAAAAGGACAGATAATTAATGATTTTTTTATCTTCCTCAGTCTGTCTTTGCCAAACCAATCGAAGAAGCAGAACAACGCTTAGACGTACAACGCATTAACGGACATTAACGCACAGTTGTTACCAACAATTAGTCACCAAGCTTCCAGGACATACCATACCAGACAAGGAACCACAGTTGTCTGCATTGTAAATTGTCAACATAAACACTGGACGATTGTTTGTCATGGTTTTCTTGTTATGTAATGAATGCGCACTGCGCATGTTAGGTTTTATGTGAATCATATTATACTTGTGAATTTATACATGTTGGTGTGTGTTCCTAAGTGTTAAGTAAATATGTACAACGTTGAGCTGAAGGTAGGACCATGCGATAAAACAGCTTGATAAATTTAAGTTTTACTTCGACATCTCTTCATGCATAGCGTTGAATGACCATGACATAACGGTTTGCTTTTTGTATTAATTTTCTAGCTGACAGCACATCTTATTCCTCACGTCACCGCACCAACACCTTCTCCCGCCCCTGAGCACGGATTCTTGTCCCCCAAACTCACCGTTGACCCGAATCGTGCATGTGTTGACGGCCTCTCCAAGCTCGTTGGTGGCCTTGCACATGTAGGTGCCCGAATCCTCCGGGTAGGAATATAGAATGTCCAGCGCCACGTAGCCGAAGTCGTGAGTTGTCCGGAACCTGAAGGCAAGGCAATTGGTGCATTATCGGCCGCGAAGATACGAAAAAAAAACCACAATGGCTCTTTCAGCAGAATTCGTAGTCCATTTGGCATTTTGAGCTAAACATGGCCATGGGTGGACCTCTGTGTCGGGTAATGTGATTAGGTTTAGAAAGCTTTTCATAACAAACATCGGTACATATTTTGTTCGCTGGTCAGTGGTCTATATTGAAGAACTGATTTTGCAGGGCGTAATAATGAATCAGGGAAGACGGTTTCCCTTTCCGACGGCACGCCGTTTGTTTAATCTGATTTTGCCGGTCGTTTCCATATTATCAATCACCGGGAATAGCAACAGACCTGGGACGGGAGTATTATTTTACACACCAACACTGTGCCAAATCGGTTGGCTGCCGTCGTGGCAGCCTGGCTCGAATCCCGGCAAAATCAACACATCGCTTATCGCCCTCTGGCGCAGCTGGGGCAGCTGACGATGCAGCAGATTGCGTCACCTCTGACACCCCCTCCCCTCCCGTGACGCCGTCACAGGTGTGCTGCACCTACCCCGTGACGTTACGACCCGGGGGTGGGTCGCTGCCAGGAAAGATAAACACGTGATTTGGAGAATCACGTGTCGTCCCAGCCGGTTACGGGGTAATAAATGAGGGATGTAGGTGGAGCGGGTCATATGACTTCCGCACAGCTGTGGAGAGCACGTGCGGCCGGTTTTTCAGATTGCCCCCATCTCCTTTTGTCCCTTCACCTTTATTGTTCTTTCAGCCACGATGTATTGTTTCCTATCTGCAGCATGATTTTATTTTAGCGTAATATTTAGTTTAGCCCGAATAATTCACAATGATTGATGTCACCGGCATTGTATGCGAATGCTCTGACGTCTCAGCCACCGGCCTCTTATTGCTCTCGTCTCCTCTCTCCCTCCGCCTCCCCTATTACCGTTCGTACCTGTGTCCTGTCCGGATTTCCTTTCCATTGACGAACCACTCCACGCGCAGTTTGGGGTCGTTGATGGGCTCCAGGCGGCACTCGAGGTGAGCGTGCTGACCTTCCTGAAGGTTCTCCAGGCTGGGGGAGGGGTGACCGGTCAGGACACCGAGCGCCAAACGGAAACCGGCACTGTGTTTAACGGCGCGGCAGGGATGTTGATAAACACAGGTACACTTGGGTGTCAGGCTGATGCGTTTGTTTGTGGTAAGAATAGGAGGGGGTCCATGGCTGGCAGTTTGAAGTTCTAATGCGCTGAAAGAGTCTGAGATGCGTGGAGACTGGAAAAGGAAGATGGTGTGAGATGCGACATCTCAACTTCGTATGATTTTGTTATGACGTGAAAGGGACTGACAAGGTCAAGGATAAAGGAGCATGCGTTTTGTCATGATATTACACGATAATGCCTATTTCTGCCGATTTTCAGTAGGTCAATCAACGCTTCCTCAGAAATTAATAACTGAACTTCACTTAGTTAGTTCACTCAGTTGTTTTAGGACTGCAAATTGATAATACAGATGTTGTGCGTGAATACGCGATTCCCCACCCGGTATCGGTGCTCGTTCCCGTCAACTGTTTGTTGCCGACTGCTCACTTGTTGAGTGGAGTGGTGAAGACTGGTTTCTGCATCTCTGGGGCGGCCTCCTCGGGGCGGATCGCCTCCGTCGCCTCCAGACTGCGGATCTTCTCCAGTCGCGCGGCATCGAGCGTGTCCAGACATAGGCCCTGTTTTCCTGTAACGGTGGAGAGGTCGGGTTAGCGGCCTGAAATGGAGCGAGCATAGCGGAACAGCGAACGGACACCCCTTCGCGAACCTGACAGTTGATGAATAGAAACATCCAAACCATGATTACTCATTTAACAAAACGAATGTGCATGAATAGATGTTAGCCAAACATGTGTGGCGCTATTTTGATGTCAAGGTGAGTGATGGTCAACTCTCTCAACCCTTTGACAACCGAAGACGTGCTGTATTGGTTCCAAAACATGCCACCCTTCTGTGGTCACCACATTAATCATCAGGTTGTTAGCTTTGGACCGCGAGTTCCATGTTGAGTGGGCAGCGAAATCCTCAACGAGTGCAGGTGAACCATTGTACGATCAGCACCAGGAATTCTTTGAGAGCGGTGATTGAACGTCGACTAGGAACTCCGGGATGATGCGTGCGCTCTATATTTGTCCTTGACATTAGCCCGGTCTGTCAGATCAGGCCGGGAGGGGTGGAGATTGGGCGAGATGGCTATGCTGGCAGCTCGGAGTGACCGTTCGATGTGCCAAGCTCGAGAGGGTGGCGTCGTCACCTCGAGTGCCATCGACGTCACGGCTCAGGAATAGAAAGGCCAGTCATCGCGCCGAGGAAAACAGAGGCGCAATTTGGTCATGCTCGGCTCCACCTGCCTCGCCGCCAGGCTTTCAGCGCCTCAGATGCCTGAGTCAGGCGCATTTTAGTGGCCACGTCAGATGAGTTGAACCCTATCTGGGGTCACCAGCCTCCCTGACGTCAACAAGCTCTGACGCATTTGGCCGGGACTGTCAGCTCTGGGAGCTTCCCCGCCGTCTGGGCGAGGCGGACGGAAAGGAGACGGACGGTCTGGTGACGGACGGAGAGAAGAGACGGACGGCCGACGGTCTGGTGCAACAGGTGTGCCCATCTGCCGGAACTGAGCCGTGACGTGTGTCCGTCTGTCCGTCCGCTGTCTGTCCGCTGTCTGTCCGCTGTCGGGACAGACAGCGGCACGGCGCGAGCTGAGGCGCGCAGCCGCCGACAGACTCAGATCTGGACACTCGCCGTCTCTCGCGCGCGTTCCAGCTCGGTCGCTGTGGCCGCTTTTAGGGCGGCCCGGGCCGGCAGCCGAAATAGCGCTGTGAGTCAGCGCCGCCCGAGAGCGGTTAAAAGGGAGCTGCGCCCCTCGGACCCAGCTCACTCGGTGCTAGAAAGCTGCAGAGGAGAGGCCAGATGAATGAGCTGGAGTTGCACTACGCGCGGGAGGGTGGGACTAGGGAATGGGGTGGGGAGGCGACGGGAGGGTAGAGGTGGTGGGCGGGAAGGGGTGGCTGGGGACTTGGGGAGGGTGGGGTGACAGGGAGGGATGGGGAGAGTTTAGGTGTCGCAGGGAACTCAATTGTCACGTTTACGATTTGACGCACGGACAACCGTGCAACGGTATCTTTTTTTTTTTGTATAATACACTTTTCAGTATTTATTTCAATGGCACCTTTCTGGGGTACTCCTATGGATCGACGCTCGTTGAGGCGTGTCTTTGTGGTCTATAGTGCTCGCTTCAAGTTGACTAAATCTTTTTTTACGCACCGTTATTGTCATCGGCTGGTCTTTTACATATTCCATTTTTTTATCTCTCTTCATTTTGCTGACTGCCAGGCCGCAAAAACGGTGCACTGCGCCACAAATTTATTGCAGTACTAGTCACCAACATTCCATTCTGCTATCGTGCAACACTGCACTGAAGCTCGATCAGCTAGTTATGACAGCTCGTTCGAGTTATCGCATTAATATCATCGGAAAGTTCGAGAAATAGTTTAAGTCGTATACATCGTTTGTCCTCGGCGACAATTTAACCCACGACCGGGCATTCGCTTGTTTGACGTTGTTGGCAAAGATATTGGGTAAAGACTTGGTGGAATTGCACTTTCGGTCAGTGGGACGAGCTAAAAAAAATTGATGCGCTAGAAAATTGTGGCAAAATTGGGACTTTGTGTTAGAAGTGTGTAATGGATCAAAAGCAGCAATCGTTATTGCGCATACACGTACTTCTACCACAATAAACTACAAAAATAATGCCTAATGCATGCAGTTGCAGCTCACAAAGTCGTTACACCACAGAAGCAATGCTCACTCAACATTCAACGAGAAAAGCAGTTTAACAATAGTGCGACGTGATACCGTCCACTTTTTGCTACAGTGCTCTGCCAGGTGACTGTCTTCTCTGAGTCTCACTGATAGCTATAAAGGACACCCAACACTGCCTTCGATTGCTGACTCTAACGTTCGATAGCCGGTAGCGTCTCGATAGTCGTTTCAGTTTGCTTGCTCCGCATAAGCTCTTCTTCCGTTTTGGTCTCCACGGTCTTTTGAATCCTGTACTTTCCGTCTGGTCGCATCTCTTCTGTCTCGAACACCTCCGTCTTATTGTCCACCTTTTTGGCGTTCATGTTCTCCTTCTCTCTCCGTATGGAGCGGTTTGCTTCTTCGATATGCTCCACGTCTCCCCCGCTCGTGTACCCCAACGATTGGTAGTGCTCATTCTTTCCATCTTTCGTGCGTTTTTCCATGAAAGCCGACTCGGAGCGCGGTCCAGCGCTGCCACTGGATGAACCCGACCGAGCCAGCTGGTCCTTCTTTGACTCATCCGTCCTGCTTCTTTCGGTCTTCGCCTTTCTCATTCCAAACTGATTGGTGGGTTCTTTGCCAGACATCGCTGGCTGGGAACCCCAGAGGCTGCCTGAAGTAGCAGAGGTCGTTTCGAAAACGGTTTGGTTCGCTTCTTTGCTGGATGGCGGCAGAATGCTTCTCGCTTGTGGTACCGTTGACTGCGGCCAGCAGCTGCTGGTGTGTTCTGTGTGACTTTGAGACGTCTCGTGACGCACCTCGGACGAACTCTGCGTTACAGAGGACCCGGGTGTCGGCCCAGGAAGCGTCTTGGGTCCGCTGCGCTGAACAGAGTACGTTGAACGCTCAGAAGACTCGGTGTCTTTTGTCACGTTGCCGGTCGCCTCGTGACTCTTGCTATGTGAGGATGTCTCTTGCTTGTCAACATAGGGAGAGGCACCGAATGGTGATCCAGTAGCTTTTCCTGACGAAACCAGATCTGAGTGAACAGCATCACCTTGACTTTGCACTAAGCGTGGAGCTCCGGCTGGTGCCATAGCTACTGGTATCTTGCGTTCATGCCCTGAAGACATTGTCTGTTTTTCGAAAGTCGACTGTTGGATTGTGCTATTGGTTTTCTGTTGTGGTGCCTGACCGTAAGCTGGCCTCGAGAATGGCGTCTGATTTTGACTTGCCTGCTGTCGTTGTTCTTCGTACCATTTCTCTTGATATTGCTGCTGTTGAGGAACATCTGGCTTGTGGGAAGGCGCACTTGCTGCTGCAATATTTTGATAACGCTCCAGACTGTTTTTTGATGTCGTCGCAATAGGTATTACCGTTTCGTTAGACGTTTTGGATGTTTGTTGTGTCGTTGATTCAAAACGACCAAAGCCTTGTGAGGTCTTTTCTTCCTCTTTCAACGGGGTTCCCAATACAGGCTGGCTCGGCGAAGCGTATATCGGCTCAGGAGTGATCGGTACGATCCGCTCTCTGTTCTCCATTTTACTTGACGAGTCAGTTTTTCTTTGTTCGAAGTGACTAGAACTTTTCATTTCCTTAAATGATGAAGTTGAAGATGATGGGACACTCCTAGGTGTATGATCTTGAAAGAGCTCCGTCTGTTGTCGATATTGCTTGCTTGCACCATTCATCGCTGACTGCGTTGTTTTTAAGCCGCTGGTAGTTGCTGGCATCTCGATGGGAATTATTTGCTCACTATGGTGATAATTTCCAGATGTTTCTTCCGATGTTTTCTTTTCGTCAGTCGCTTTCCAGCTCGGTTGCCAGGCTGGTATAGTTTGGAGTGGCTGAGAAGGCTGTTGGTTGATTTTCTCATCTAGCGAAGAGCTCAGATCCGTCATATCGTGCCACGACATGCTCTGGTCCAGGGAGCTCCAATGGTCGCTGAACGGCTCAGGAGTTAACAGCGGCGGGAACTCGAGGGCTTTTGGGGCCTGGAAGGCCGGGAAGCCATGGTCGAACGTCTCAAAGGACTGCGACATGGTCTGATACGAGCTCTGCTGCATGGTCTTTGAGGTGCTTGACCCAGGAAGGTTAGTCACCGAGTGCAGCACCTCGTGACTCCTCTTCTCAGCTGACTCGCTCTTCCGATGTCCAGTGGCGGTCTTCTCATCGCTCTTTGAGCTGCTGAACGTCTCTTGTCGGTCCACATACGGCTCCGGCATACTGGTCGGCGTGTGCGGCAACTGCTGGGGCATCACATCCATTACGCGTGGGGTTGGCTTAGGCTGTGGACGCTGATACAGACCACTGTCGGTTTTCGCGGAGAATAGGTGAGCGGTGTCTCGCTTTTCACTTGTCTCCGTCTTCGACGATGGGACTGGCTGCCAAGTGACGTGCGGCGTCGGACGGACGGTGTCTGTCGTTTTCACCGTTTGTTCCGTCGTTTGACGTGTGCTCTCAGTCTTCTCGGTACGTGTTGTGCTCTCCTGCCACGGCGCACTCGGCTCTGACACTGGTCTGGCGGTGACTGGTCTCGCCCGGTCGCTCTGCTGACTGCTTATTTTCGCGATGACTTCACGCTTTCGCGACTCGTCGGTCGCGTGGCTACCGGCGAGGCGTTTGTGAGGTGGCGCGGTGGGAGCGGACGCCGGTTTGGCAGTCGGCCAGGGTCCGGCCGACGGTGTGGACTGCTGCCACGACGACGACGACTGAGACGTCATTGTACGCTCGAATGTTTGAGAAAGCTCGCTCTGTTGTTTAGTTTCGGCAGGCGGTCGGAAGATGGGCGCAGATGGCTGGGCGGATTCCGACGATTTTGTTTGTTGGAGCTTTTCCAGATTGCTCTTGGTCTCTTTTGTGGAGTAAGTTGGTGTGGGCGGAGGGACTGGTTTTGGGATTGCATGCATGCTCTCAGTCCGACTACTGAACTGCTTAGACTCATAC